TTTAGAAAGTCTTGATTTCATGCATTATTTAGGATTGACTATAGTCAATCTTTTCACCTCCATCTGTCACTGTAGCTTTAGAGCTCTCCATATGCTCTCCAGCTCTCCAGCTCGAGCGATGCTTTTCTGAGTGTGAGAGCCCACTCCAGTGTCTAGTTGATGCCAGATCCAAACTATGCCTCACCTCAGACATTTCTTGCCATGCCTCTGCCCTCTCCAAACTTCCATAGAGTTCCCTGAAGGAGCTAAGCCATTCACCCAACCTCCTTCCCCCACCTTTCTCTGAGAACAGTAATCAAGTCAATACTAATTTCACTCCTTAAAAGGGTATGCCAATTGATTTTCATCTTGACCAACTCACCATCCCAGTGATTTTGCAGAACAAAATACCCTTCCTTGGCCATCATTCCTATATATTTGTGTTCTCCACTTCTTAAAATACAAATTCCTTCAGGGTAGGGACTCTTTCTTTGATATTTGTGTCTCTGTCACTTAGTATGGTGTGTGGCAAAGGAAGGGCTTAATAAATGCTTTTTATTTCATTCATTCAGCCATCAGCTCCCCTTCCATGATCCTGGAGAAAGTGTTTCTTGGAAGGAGCACTGGCTTCTGTGAAAAGATAGCTCCAAGTACTATTCTAGCTCACGTGGTTAAAATGAAACCTTTATCTCCTATTTAATACTCAACCATTTGCTTTTTCCATCTGAACTCCTATGTAGCAACATGATACAGTGTAAAACACGTTGGTTTTCAAGTGTGTGATGACTTGCCTGTGTAACCTTGAGCAAATCACTTCACCACTACCCCTCCTTAGTTTTATCATTTGCAAATGAAGGGACTAGGTCCCTCACAATTTTAAATCTATTATCCTATGAAAAGCATTTAAGTTGGAAAGATGTTGCTGAGGGGGAGGGGGATTGAAGAGAAAGCTACGAGGAATTGGAAAGACCATGACATTTTCATAGAGGAGTAGGAACATAAGTGACTCCCCAAACAAGAGAAACTTTTAGTTAATCAACCAATCAGTAAGCACTTTTGTGAGGCACTGTGCTAGACGTTAGGGATGCAGATCCACAAAAAATGAAAGGATTCTTATCTCCAGGAATTTGAATTCTGTCAGGGAAAATAACGTATACTTAGACACACATATACAGAATAGAATAAATGTGGATGGAATGAATAAAAAAAATTACAAGATAGCTAAATACAAGGTAGGTAGGGAGAGAGCCCACTAGCAATTATGGGAATGAGGAAAGGCTTCATAGAGATGATGGTGCTTTATATGAGTATGGAAGGAAGAGAGGGATTCTATGAGGTATAAATAATGAGGGAGTGAACTCCAGCATGGGGCACAGCCAGTACAAGGACATGGAAATAGGAGGTGGAGTGTGATGTGTGAGGAACAGAGATGCCAGTTTAGCTGGACCAGAGTACAAGAAGGGTAATGTATAATAAGACTAGAAAGGTAAGTTGGGGTCGGGATTCTTGCTGCCTGCAGGGGACAGAGAGATGCCATTCTCTTTTGCTCCCCCAACCTATCTTCTGACTTTGTCTGTCTGTAAGAATGGAGAAAAATGCTATTCCATCAGCTACCCGCAAAGGACCCTCACTTAAGCTGCCTAATATCCTGAAAGGATACTACCCTTTTGATTAACAAACTCTCATTGGATCATGCCCCTCTCATCCCAGAGATCTTGAACCACCCCCTCCAGCTATCATTATACAAACCCCTTCAACTTCTCCATTCCTCACTATGTACTCCTGTATTCCTGTCCCCTCAACTGCGCCTCCCCACTCCCCACAACATTGTATTATAAAGTTACCCATCCCTTTCACTGTGCTCTCTGCAATACATGCTCCATAGGTAACAAACTTTCTTTCATCTTAATTTTGTTCCCCTTTTCACTTCTTTCATCTTCTGGATCTCGCTGAGACCTATCTCTCTGCTAAGGGAGTCTCACTGAGAGTCTCCTTGGCTATCCTTTCCAGCACTGGTTGTACTTCTACATATTCACCCCAAGTCACTGGTAAAGGTGGGGGAATCTTAATAGTCCTTGCTTCCCACTAACATTTCCAGGTTCTTCCTCTACCTCCATCACTCTACCATAGAGTGGGAAGGGGAGCTGACTCTTTTCTGCCATATTCTTGCCTAGAAATACCAGTCTCTAAAACCCCAGCTGTAGATCCCAGGAGTGGCTTTCTGGTATTGCTGTTGTTTAGTCATTTTTCAGTCATATCTGACTCTTCATGACTTCATTTGGGGTTTTCTTGGCAAAGATACTGGAATGGTTTGCCATTTCCTTCTCCAGGTCATTTTACAGATGAGGAAACTGAGCCAAACAGGGTTAAGTGACTTGCCAAGGGTTACATAGCTAGTAATGTCTGAATCTGGATTTGAACTCAGGTCTTCTTCTTCTTTTTTTTTATTAAGGCAATTGGGGTTAAGTGACTTGCCCAGGGTCACACAGCTAGTAAGTATCAAGTGTTTGATCTGAGGCCGGATTTGAACTCAGGTCCTCCTGACTTCAGGGCTGGTGCTGTATCCACCTGCACCACCTAGCTGCCCCAGAACTCAGGTCTTCTTGACTCGAGAGCTGGTACTCTATCCACTGTACCACCTGACTGGCCTTCTGATATGCATCCTCCACCCCCAAATATAAAATTTACTGTTTTTTTATTCTGGCACATTCCTTCTATTCCTTTGGGTCAGGAAGGCACCTCTACCTTCCAGATCCCTTTAAAAAAATAAAAGTCCCTCTAGGAAAAATCATACTTTAAGCTATAGCTAACATCAGAGTAACTTCTTAACACCCACTAGCCTGCTTGCTGTGCCTCACACACAGCATTCCATTTTTCATCTCCATGCCCAAAATGAAGTCCCCTCTCACCTCAGCCTCTTGGAATCCCTAGTTTCCCTCAAGATTTCCCTCTAGTGCTACCTCTGCAGGAGGCATCTCTTCCCCCACCCCCACCTGTAAATGTCTTCCCATCTAAGTCGGGTCTGCTTTTTTGAGTCATACTCGTAAAATATGTACATGCTTATCTCTCTTACTAGAATTCAAATATTTTGAGTTCAGGGATTGACTTTCATTCTTGTTTTTGTATCCCCAGTGTTCAGTGCACACAGTGTCTGGCACATAGTAGACTTATTTGATTAATTATCAGGGATAAACTGAAAACCATAAAACTTGAAGAGGAAAAAAGATAGGCTTCTGACAGACTAAAGAGAGCATTTGAGGAAGGAAAGGAGAAATGGTATGAACCTATTTTATAATTTTCCTGTATTTCCTAGATATTTCCAATTTTCCATGATGGCCTAGCCATTGTGTCACAAAATGAATTATGACATTGTTGCAGAAGCAGGGGTAAAGTTAGGCAATAGAGGTAGTCTTTTAGAGTGCAACACACAGTGAGGGCAAAGTGATAGCTTTCTCTTGACAAAAGGAATGCCAGAGTGGTACAGGGGGAGGAGTGCTGGCATTGGAGTCAAAGAACCTGGGTTCAAATCTTATCTACGTTACTTACTACTTGTTTGATTTCACGCAAGTTATTTCACCTTTCTATGTTTTATTTTTCATGGAGACAATTCATAGGTTCACTTTGAGAACTGATTGTTAAATTTTCACCATGAGCATTTATACATCCCAAATCAGCAAATGCTACAAATCTGGGCTTCATTGTTTTGTTGATTGTCTAGAATTAAGGAAGTAAGGGGGTTGGGGGGAGAGGAAAATGTTAATAATATAAATTAAACTTAAGAATATATCATGTATGCACTTCCTTCCTTGCCTCCTCCTCCATCTGATTGAACATTTACTAGCATACCACTGTCCAAGGTCCTTTCCAGTTCAAAATCAATAGTTTTATGAAAAAGAAGAATTAAGAAGAGATAGCCAATACTCATAGCTAACTCAAGTCTATGTAGTAAAGATGACAATACTACTGAAATTAATTTATAGAGGGTCATTGGATTATTTCTTAGAAATAGTGAGAACACAATTTCCACAGATGATTATGTAAGAATATCAAAGGGAATTGTGAAAAGAGGAAGAAGCAAACTTGGACTCCTGCATCTTGAAATAAAACAGTAATTATCAAAACTATCTGGTATTGGAATTAAAAATAGATCAGTGGAACAGAATATATAATTTAGCATGTGAACCAAAGGCTAGTAGTGGAGAAATCAAAAACATTAGAGAAGGGCCTTATTATTCAATTAAAACTTGGGAAAATTAAGTAGAAGGATGGTAAAAAAATAAGATTAACTCTCACATCATATGTTACAATAAGTTCCAAGTAGATCAATGATGCAAATATTTTAAAATCTTTTTTTAAATAAAAGAAAATGGAATGATATATTTATTGAATTTGGGGAGAGAAATAAAATTTGATCTTCTGAACAAATGGAAGAAATTATAAAAAGCAAAATAGATTGCTCTAATTACATAAAAATAACATGCATTTCAAAAATCAATGAAGCCAAACTTAAAAGAAGAAAATAGATGAGGAAAAATATTTTCCATGAATTTGCCTGGTACAAATCTGATATGAAATTGATAAGAAGTATATATAAATTTATTAGAGTAAGAACAATTCCTCCAATGGATAAATGGTTAAAGGATTTGACCAATAGGCAGTTTTGAAAAAAAAATTGTCAAGGACCATCTAAAAATAATTCAAACTCTGTAATAATCACAGAAAATAAGAGTTCAAACAACTCTCAGTTACCAGCTTCCCCCCCTCTCCACAAATAAATTGGCCAGGATCAATGGATCATAGACTTCAAAGCTGGAAATAACATTAGAGGTCATCTAATTTAACACCCTCATTTTACAGGTGAGGAAATCAAGTTTGTAAAAGTGGAGCACAAAGTTTCAGGAATGAAGGCAGAACATCAGGGAAGAAACCTCCTCCGGTTACCACATGTCTACAAAAGCAATAAAAGAGCAACAAAAAAAAATGTTTAAAATAACCTTCCCAAGACTTCGCAGCTAAAATACAGTAGAGACAGGATTTGAATCCAGGTCTTCTAATGCCAAAGTTAGTATCATTAATTAAAAGTGATAAAATTCAGTGATGGCAGGGCTGTGGAGAAGCAGGTACACTGTCATACTGCTGATAGAACTCTGTATTAATATAATATTTTTGGAAAAAATAAACTAAGGCAAAAGTTCTTAATTTGGGGTTTATGAACTTTAAAAAACTCTTAATTGCATTTCAATAGAATTACTTTCATTTGTAATTTTATGTACTTTATCTTATGCATTTAAAAATATCATTCTGAGAAGGGGTCCATAGGCTTCACCAGACTACCAGAGATCTATGTCAAAAGTCAAGAACCCCTGTATTGTGTTCTAAAATTGTTTATACCTTTTAATTCAGTGATGAATAATATAGGATTATGTTAGGATTATCCTACAAGCGTGGGCAGGGGGAGGGAGGGATACCAATCTCTACAAAAATATTCATAGCAGCTTTATTTTTAATAGCAAAAGACTAGGAGGAATCCAGATATACAAGGACTGGGGAATGAATGGCTGAACAAATTGTAGTAAATGATGAGAATGGGAATATTAATGCACCATGAGAAATAAGTGACAGATATGAAGGCTACAAAGAAATTTGTGAAGACCTATGTGATGGGAGGGAATGTGAAGAGAACAGAATCAGAAGAAACACACCAAGGACTGTGTAAATGACAATAATCACAACCACGACAATAATAATAATAATGATTGAACATAGCAATGAGAAGAATGAAATAATGATAATAATAAGTAACAAAAAAAATAGAAAAAAATGATCCGGAGACATGAAAGCAATCTTTGTCATTATTGTGTTAAAATTAATATCTACTTACAATAAGTAAATAATTTTGAGTTTATTTATTTAATTTTGTTCATTTAAATGTTTTTGTAAATGGTTAGGGATAGGGTCTAGAGCTGTAACTTCAGTGATACTTCCAGATGAGGAAACTCCCTCTCCAGATATAGGTCTATACCTATTCTTTAATTTATAGACTTAGTTTTTACAGACTAAGCTTAAAATTCTAAATTCTTAAAATAAAATAAAATTTTCTTTTAAAAATAAATCCCCAAATCAATAAAATGAAGGTGATCTCTAAGCTCCCTTTCTGGTTTTGATTTTAATCATATAATCTTTATATTTTCCCTACTACTCAGCTCAGTAGGAGCTTAATAAATGTTTGCCAGACTAAATGGAAACTCAAGAATAGGAAGAAGTTTTCAGGGTTGAGCCTGTACAAAAAGCAAGGAAGGAAGATGGGTAAATCTGACAGCTGAAAACTCCATGGAAATGGATGTGTTAAGTGAAATGCAGGATATTTAGGAATCCTGGAGATCACGGATCTGGAGGCTAAGGAAAAGAGATGTTCATTTTAAGTGAGAAATACACACACAAGCTCCATCATTGATTCTTCATGCAGCCATGTTGCTTACACAGCAACAAAGTCTTCTTGGGCGTGTGTGGGAACTCTGGGAAGAGGATGGGCTGTAACTTGAGAACTGGTGTTCCCTCATCTGAAAGTGTCTGCTTTCCTCAACATGTGGTCCTGGATGGAATGTGGGCTGCTCTTCAATTCTGAAGCTCCGGAAATGTTTCAGCTGCAGAAATCCATCATCAACTTGTCAAAGCTTATAGAGAAAATGTTTTAGTTGATGAAGTTTATAAAAGTGGAGAACAAAGTTTGAGGAATGAAGGCAGAACATCAGGGAGGAAACTTCCTCTGGCTACCACATGTCTAGAAAAGCAGACATTTTAAACCAAGGATATATGAAGTCACAGTTGCAGCCAATCTATTATCATTAGCGTCATTGTTATTATTACTATTTTACTAATGCCTTCTGTTTTTATATCACAATTATCCATCCCTGGTATATAGCCCATTCTCCCTCCTTTATGCTCCCTAATCATACACACAGCAAGCCTTTATTTTCAATAATGAAAAACAGTTAAACAAAAAGGAATTGCTACAACAGCTATATTGAGTGATACACGCAGCTTTCTACATCCATGGTCCCCACCTCTCTAACAAAAGGAGGGTGGCAAATTTCCTCAGCTTCTCTAGGGCCACAAATGGGCATTGTAATTATAGCATGCAGAATCAAGCTTCATTTTTGGTATTTATTTCATTTACATGATTGTAGTTATATATTATTTTCCTGGTTCTGTTTACTTTGTTCTGCATGAATTTGTACCATTTTTTTCTTGGAATTCCTTAAGTTTGCCATTTTTTCCTGAGCAATAATATTTCATTATGGTCATGTACCATAATTTTTTCAATGATCTCAATCAATCAATCCACAAGCAGTTATCAAGGGCCTACTATATGTCAGGCACTTGAAGATACAATTTCAGAAAATGAGACAATCCCTGTTCATAAAGAGCTTACATTCTAATGGGATAGAAAACAACATAGATATATATGAAAAACACAAGTAGAATAACACAAATAAATATAAGGTAGTTAAATGCAAGATAGGGAGGGAAGACCAGAAGCACACAGAAGGATCATAAAAGACTTAATTTAGTTTGTGGTTCTTGAACTGAGTCTTAAAGGAAGAAAAGAGGAAGGGGTGCTTTTCAGGTATGGGAAGATAGGCTATGAAAAGGCATAGATTTGGGAGAGGGAGGGTCATGTGTGAGCAATAGCAAGAAAGCCAATCTGGTTAGATCTTAGAGTTTGTGAAGGAGATTAATGTATAATAAGACTGGAAAGATAGGTTGGGGTCAGATTGGGAAGGGCTTTAAAAGATAAACAGAGGAATTTATCAGCAGCACAAATTCATCTGCTACTTCTGTGCAGATGACTTATAGGTCTATCATTCTAGCCTCATTCTCTCTCCACTCTCACATTACCAGTTGTCTATTGTACATCTTCAATTAGATGTCCCTTTGGCATTTCAAATTCATTATGTCCAAAATGAATTTCATTGCATTTCTCCCCCAAACTCTCCCCTTTTCTTGACTTCGCTATTTTTGTGGAAAGCATCACCCTCTACTCATTGAGATTCACACCCCTTGCAGTCAAGGTCATATTCCAAAAGCACAGGCCTGCCATATTACCCTACCCGCTCAAGAAGCCTTAGTGTCTCCTCGTTGCTTTTAGGATTAAATACAATTTTCTCCACAAAGCCCTTTCCTATCTGGCCCCAGCCTACCTGTCAGACCTGTTGCAGCACATAATTCTCCACCCCATAGCTTGTGGTCCAAGCAAAGTGACCTAATTGCTGTTCTTCACACAAGTCATTCCATCTCCCATCTGTGTGTCTTAGTGAAGATTATTCCTCATACCTGGAATGCATTGCCTCCTAACCACCACCTCTGAGATTCCCCAGTCTCCTTCCAGACTCAGCTCACGGACCACTTCCTACATGAATCTTTCCTAGGGGCTCCCTCTTGCCTCTAGCATCAAATACAAATTGCTCTGTCTGACCCTTCACAATTGGACTTCAGTTCATGTTTTCCAGAATTACTGCACATCAATCACTTTCATGCACTTTACTTCAACCAGCCTGGCCTACTTGTACCTCACCATCTTTGTGCCTTTGCATAGACTACCCAGGTGCATGGAATGCTCTCTCCCCTCACCTTTGCCTCATAAAATCCCTAGCTTCCTTCAAAGTACAGCTCTAGTATCATCTCTACTGGAAGCTTCCAGTTCCTTTGGGAATATTTTGTATTTAATTTCCAACTTGTATTTTTCTTTTTTAAAATTTATTTTGCAAATAAATAAAACAAGTATTTCTATAGCATAGTACAATAAAAAAGATGATTGCACGTGAAACCGCAAATCTGCTATGCACAACTTCTTTACTGTTTCTCCCAAATAGAATATAAGCTCCTTGAGATCGGGCCCTTTTTTGTTTGTTTGTTTGTTTGTTTTTGTTTTTTTATCTCAAGCACCTGGTACACAAATGCAAATTCACAAATGGATCAGTGATCTCCCAGATTTAGGAGTTCTCTCTAATGATGGGTATCATAACCCATCTAGGCCTACTTGCCCCGCATGAGGCTTATTCATATTGTCCCATAATTTTCCCACGGGGAGCCTGCCTGACCTGCTGCAGGTCCTCCTTGCTTTCTCCTGGCTTTGTAATGGGAGAGCACTTTGCATTTTCAGCTGTCATCACTCATGCTCACCGTGTTGCTAACCCTGTCTTCTCTTCCTATCACGGAATTCCTTGATGATAACTTACTCTTGCTCTTCTTTGGAGTTCCTCATTCATTATATGCTGCTCATACCCACAATACCCTCTGTGTGATACTCATTTTTGAATGAATGGCACATAGTAGGTGGTTAATAGATTCTTGAAGTGGATTGTCAAATAGTTCTGAAAAAATCTTAAGGCAATTTTGTTGTTGTTGTTCTTCAGTTGTTTCAGTTGTGTCCAACTCTTCATGATCCCATTTGGGATTTTATTGGCAAAGATACTGGAGTGGTTTTGCCATTTCCTTCTCCAGCTCATTTTACAGATGAGCCAACTGAGGCAAACAGGGTTAAGTGACTTCCCCCAGTGTCTGAGGCCGGATTTGAACTCAGGAAGATGGGTCTCCCTGTCTCCATGCTCAGCACTCTAGCCACTGCACCACTACACCTAGCTGCTCAATGCAATTTTAGGCTGTATTAATAGAAAAATGGTATCCAGATTGCTAAGGGGCACTTAAGAAATGACAAATAAAAAATGTGAAGTATACAAAGAAATATGGGAAGACCTCTATGAATGAAATCTTACTACATTTTACACTGATCAGACCACACATATATGGAATATTGTAGTTCTATATGCATGTATATCTACATACTACATATTCTATATGTATATCTACATATTTTTATAGGCATATTTATTAACTAGATTTCATCCAGAGGCAGCTAGGTAGCACCAGAGTGCACAGAGCATGGATCTGGAGTCAAGAAGACCTGAATTCAAATCCAGTTTCAGACACTTACTAGCTATGTGACCCTGAGGTTAATTGATTTCAATTATCCTCTCTCTACTTCAG